CAGAAGTTTCAGTGAAACGTGTGTACTCGAAGACCATAAAACATCGATCACACAAGAAATAAGGTAACTTTAAGACAATTCTAAATTACAACACAACTTCATAAGTACGTATGTACAATTAAGCCAACAAAAAGCGTGTAATTAAATAGTAAGACGATGTCTGACATTCAACACATCGAAACACAAGAAAAATGACATAGATCTCCGCTGCATATAAACAGTTGTCAACCAACAATTAAGAAATAACTCTCGCTGGACATTTCAACATTCCATGCAAGAATTGATGAATGAATTTAAAATATGCATGAAAGTGCTTTAGAAAAATACCAAGATAAAAAAAAATGAGATTCAAGAAAAATGGGGGAGGGAACTTCAGTGAACGGTCAATATGTGGTTTTAAGGACTCATGGCAATTGATATTAACCTCAGACACAGAAAATGATAGCGACATCGCAGGCTCGGTCGTTATCACTTTCTGTGTCTTCGGTCAATATCAATTGCCACGAGTCCTTATAACCACATATCGACCTACACTGAAGTCCATAATTGTATAATAACGCCTTTTGCAAAGGCGTAATAACGCCTTTTAGAAAGGCGTAATACCGCCTTTAGGAAAGGCGTAATAACGCCATTTAGAAAGGCGTAATAATGCGTTTTATAAAGGCGTAATTACGCCTTTTAAAAAGGCGTAATAACCCCTTTTGGAATGGAAATACGTAATAACGCATTTTTGGAATGGAAAGACGTAATGACGCCTTTTTTCGCGTTATTACGCCTTTTCGAAATGTGTTATAAAGCCTATTAATTTTTTTTTTCTCTCTAGATGATCCTAATAGGCTTTCGTATTTTTAAACATTATTTTTGCAAAATTTTACCCCCAGTTCCAGGTTTAGTTTCAAAGGGATGTGATTAAACAAAGAGTGAAAGTTTTTTTGATGATTTATCTATACAGCAACTTTTAAAACCGGAAAACCGGTGAGTAAAGCTTATGAAGGAATTCAAATCCCCTTAATAAAGTTAATGTTGTAAACAGACCTTAGACAATAACAATGTAGCATGTGACTCTTAACCAAGCGCTCGGCACTTTGAAGTTGCGGGTCTTTCGGATGAAACTTTGAAATTCCAGACTCCGTGTCACAGTAGACGTTGGCACGGTATAGATCCCTTGCTAACTTAATAGTCCTGAGTGGCGAGTAAAGATTTACATTTGAAGCCCTTTATCGGTATAAATGGTCCTGTCTCTATATTATACAATTATGGACTGTTTAGAAGGGAGACATCACCAGTTATCAGGTCTGAGTAGGGTTGTCACCCGAGGGCGCTTGCGCCCGAGGGTGACAACCCTACTCAGACCTGATAACTGGTGATGTCTCCCTTCTAAACAGCCCATAATAGTTTTATTATCCTGAAGAATATATACGATTATTAATTAGATAGAGTAGAAAATAGTAATCGAACCTCTTAATTTCTTCTACTCTGCTCCGATTCCATACTTTCAAAATATGTCAACAGACAACTTTGACGTCATCGTTAGAATTTATTGTTTTCCGATCCCGCATATTTAGCCATTGTACTTATAGATAGGAGTTATATGTCGCTAAAACCACTGTAGTTCTATTCAAAGGGCGACAACACAGTTGTACATGTAACCCTGCATGATCGCTTAAGCTATTTCATTGTCATCTGAAGGGAAATAACAGTTTTCTCCCTGTGCGTGAGGGAGACATCACGAGCTGTGTCCCTGCACGTGACCTGCCTGCTCTAAACCAATCAGATTGACTGTATAATTCTGAAGGCTAATAATAATTATTGAAAAATCCTTGTGTGGAACAAGAACAATATAAATCAATCAATTTTAACTGGAAAGCAAAGAATTATAACAAGACATGGTTTCTGTTAATGATTGTGTTTGTCATATATATATATATATATATATATATATATATATATATATATATATATATATATATATATATATATATATATATATATATATATATATAGTTCATAGTTCATAAGTGGCGTAGTTCAAAATGTTTTATGCCAAATTAGTATAATGACCATTAAAAAATAGATTTGTATTAAACACCCTAGATCTAATGTTTCAGGTTGCACGCGAACACTGGAATGCCTGGATCAGAAAACACACATTGCGTTTTATGCGTACTACTCTAACAATTTTAAAGCTTTAGCCACTGGGACGACTTTAGTCTTTGATGCAGTAATCACAAACCTTGGCAACGGGTACGATAAAAGAACTGGAATATTTACCGCTCCATCATCCGGGGTCTATGCCTTTACTTGGACCGTGAACGCAGCGGGATCACACGTCGCTGGATCATCTGGCAATCAATATGGCGAGATGAATGCGTCCATAAAACTTAACGGAGTAACAAGAAGCGCGGTTAAGATTGATTCTGAAAGAAAGAATGATGACGACAGTGCTACTGGTTTTGTTGTTTTGAGTCTAAACCTTGGGGACAAAATACAGATTGTGTCAGATAAGTTTGACGGTGAGGGAGGATTGTACAGCGACGATAAATATGGCCGAACTTGTTTTTCTGGATTTCAAATTGCCTGATTCATTTGTAACATTATTCATGTTTCATTTTGCCACATGCTTAGATATATTCAAAAGACGTTAAGAAGTAATTCAAGATACTCAGTAGTCAACTTTGTAACGTTGTGCAAGTTGGCTTGTGCATTTGAAATGTAACGTGGTCATATGAATTGGCATCGGTCAATTTAAAAAAAAACCCACTCTATTTTGGGTGATGTGGATTGACCCTTTTTTCCAAGTTTGCAATTTTTTTTTCAAATATGAATGTTGCAAATGTTTCAACTGTAAAATTTATCGGGAGTAAACGTACGCATATATGAGTGTAAGAAGGCAGAATTTTAAATGAAATTTTAATATGGAAAAAAGAACTTGTTTCAGTAATTTTCTTTTTCTCGATTGCTTCGTTATATGAAAATCGTTTACGAAATTTCTATATCGCAGTACGTTGCTTTATTATTTCATTAAAAATTGTGATATCTTAAATGACTCTATATTGTTTTTAAAAACGTCTCTCGTTTAATAAATCTCATATGATTGTTTCCATATAATAAAACAGTTAATGAATCGGTACTCAGGAAAAATCAAGTTTATGGTTCCTCTCGGTAGAAAACTATTTCCTTCGCCGTCTCGGGAAATAGTTTCCTCCCATGGAGAACCATGAAGTTGCTATGTCCCGAGACCCATAACTGTATAGTTATTTCCATTCATATGTCGACTCGATATATCCCAGTGAGCTCTAAATAAAAGACACCACAGAGTCTGGCACATCTGTTTCATATTTGGATGTTTGATTGACTATAGACTATAAGGGCCAACTAATGATTGTATATTGTTTAACGTCCCTCTCGAGAATTTTTCATTCATATGGAGGCGTCTAGGGGCCAACTAACTACTAAATCGTATGACAAACAATATTCAGCTTTTTTTATCGTCAACTTTATCTATATTTTGTTATAATATTTGGCTATCTCCTGCATATTCTGGAGTTTTTGGTAACTAACTTACTCAATACACAAGAGCAAGTTCTGAGTATGATCAATTTTTAAACCGACGAGGCTACTGGCAGATAAATTGATGTTACAGGGACTTCAACAATCGCGTTTCAAGTTGCAATTCTATTGTCTTGTATGTAATTTCCTTGTAAGCATATATAACCTTTAATGGGTTTTGGTTGACGTTTTTCAGAACAATCAATAAGCTTTTGTTTTTATTCCAAATTTAACTACGGAATATTCCGTCTTTCTGATCAATACTCACGGCGGGTGTGACCGGTCGACAGCAGATGCTTACTCCTCCTAAACACCTGAATTCTGTTCAACAGAGCTAGCTCTAGCGAACATTTCTATTGGATGTATAAGGAAATTTGGATAGCGTTCGCGAACGTTCGCTTTGTTGAACAGGATTGCTATAAATGAGGTTTTGATAATTGTCTGAGAGGCCTCATGAATAAGCATTTAGTCTTTTTAAACATGCACTTCTATTAAAGTGTTAATAACGTAAAGAATTGGTAAACACTGTTGACTTGGAATTAGAGAAACAAATAATTATTAACACTATGTAAAAAGGAATGTGTAACAAGAAAATAATCATATCGTTAAGTGGAAATACTCTTCACAGTGGATTTAAAATGGCGATACCTTGGTTCCTGTCAATTATTTTATGAAATTGATAATGATTAGCAATAATAATTATATACATGTGCGTGTAAACGTCCACAAGAGAGAGAGAAAGAGGGAGACAGAGAGAGAGAGAGAGAGAGAGAGAGAGAGAGAGAGAGAGAGAGAGAGAGAGAGAGAGAGAGAGAGAGAGAGAGAGAGAGAGAGAGAGAGAGATTTTCATGTAGTCGTATATGAAAAGAATATGAAACCAAAAAAAAAAAACCTTTTACTAACAGAATTATTAACCTGTTTTAAATGCTACATAATTATAATTTGTATACTGCAAGAAAAATATATAACTGATACAAATTTTATAAAAAAAATTAAAATTAAAAATATATATATCTGATACAAACTTTTCTCACAGTATATGTCAGACATATTTGGAAAATAAGAAATGATTAGATAACGATTTAAAATGGACTTTTGTCTCCTATTGATAAAAATATACCGTCCTTCAAAGTATCAAGTAAGTTCCTGAACGACTTTACATTATCAGTATGAGAAATCTACTTTTTCGAATATCGCAAAACGTCATGGAGCTACAAGAGTTTTTTCTGAGCTATGTACTTTCTGCAATTAAATCACAAAATTACTTGATTAAATGTTATCTAATATATGCTTTGAAAAAAAGAACTGCAGATTATGTAATACAGAAAACAACTTTTAAGATTTTAAATAGCCTTGAAAAGTAGCTCCTTACAAGTGGCACAATCTGAAAATGAGTGCTTCAGCTGTCATTAACATCCTGACAAATTGCTGATATATATGAAAGAATAAGACAAATAGGAAATAGTACTGCAGTTGTTTGAATTGTACTTACGTAACTTTATCATGGAGTACTCGGTATACCTTTCTGTCTTTGCAGCATTTGTCATATTGTTTGAGGGAAATAGCTGTAATGTTGAAGCTGTGCTCACCAATGTCAAAACTTCCTCAAATTTAACTACTGATAGAGTGGGTGATTTGAAAGAAATTTTGATCAATCAGGATTTGACTCAGAAGATACAACTCGTGCAAAATGTCATGCAAGTTATGAATGATGTTCAGATATTAAAGAATGATGTTAAAAGTCTGGAAATGGAAAATTCCCATCTCAAGGCAGAAATTGAAAACAAAACACGCAGTAAGTAAACACATCATTCTAATATGGAAAGGAAAGCATATATATATTTTTTTCAAATATAGGTCGAAAAGCTTATATAGAATATGTTTTGAAATATATGATTTTTTGATTTTAGTCGGACAAGTGATGACAGATGTTCAAACATTAGAAAATGATGTGCAACGTCTCAAGAATGAATATTCCTTTACCAAAAAAGAATTTGGAAATCACTTGATCAACACAAAAAATGAAAGTACGTATATCTGATTTGTTCATTATAGCAGAAAAAAAAAGATTTTTGTTTACAGCATATACTTAGTTTAATAATCAATAAAATATATGGAGATAAAGAACAGTTTTCAAGATCAAAAGTCCATTTAATTTTACAAAATTTACTCTGCTGAGAGCAATCATGGACCTAATAAAAATCAGAGGTGGGATTAGGTGCCATGGAGGAGTGAGCATCCACCGCCGACCGGTCTTACTCGCCGCGTGTTTCCTTGTCATGATCAGGAAATAACGGAAAAAATCCAATTCAATGTGTATATAATGACCTAACAATTTGTATGGAAAACATCAATCAGTATTTTACTTAATGATAAATTGTATATGCTGACAGGTCATTGTATCGACCATAGAACTTACTGATTAATTAACATTTGAATATTAAGATTAATTTTAGATTCTACAATCAAGTCATAAAAAATTGAAAGATTGTTTGATTGGTCGTTCTGCTTTTAAAAACTCCACTCGATATTTTTTACTTATATGGAGACAGCACTGTGACCAGTGACTTTCACTTCTTGTGCCGTGCGATGGGGGATTGAACAGTCTCTACCTTATTCGGAACACCTCGGGGCTTTGACAGTGTTTTTCTATGAAAGGACCGAGATGTTCCAGTTGTCACTACCTATGTTGATGTCTTAGTCTTGACGTGATGCATCTAATGTGAATCGAATCCAGGGGTCTGAATTACAAAATAACATACGACTAAGATCAAAATTTTAATCTGTTAATAACTTTGTATTTTACATGAAATTAAAAATGGTATTAATCTTTTTAATAGGAATGTAGAAGGATATTTTTATGATAGCGCTTTTACGCCAAATTAGCTTAATAACCATCTGAATATATACAAGTATCTGAATTAAACCCCTAGATTTAATGTTTCAGGTTGCACACGAACACTGGAATGCCTGGATCAGAAAACACACGTTGCATTTTATGTGTACTACTCTTACAATTTCAAAGCTCTAACCATTGGGACAACTTTAGTCTTTGATTCTGTAGTCACAAACCTTGGCAACGGTTATAATAAAAGAACTGGAATATTTACTGCTCCAGCATCCGGGGTATATGCCTTCACTTGGACACTGATCCCAGCGAGATTACACGTCGCTGGATCATCTTGTCAATAAGGCGAAATGAATGCGTCTATAAAACAAAACGGAGTAACAAGAGGGTCGATTAAGGCTGATTCTGAAAGAGAGAATAATGACGAAGCTGCTACTGGTTTTGTTGTTTTGAGTCTAAAAGCTGGGGACGAAATACAGATTGTGTCTGATAAGTTAAACGGTCAGGGATCAATATACAGCGACGAAAATATGGCCGTACTTCTTTTTCTGGATTTCAAATTGCATGATTCCTTTAATTGTTGCCTGACTTCACGACGTCAGGGTGTAATACGTACAGGCCTTTAGGTCGCATAGAAAAAAAATTGAGATGTTGAAAAAAATGGAACTCTTTTTATAGGGTACCTACTTTCGCAAATAAAATTCTTTTAAATCAAATGCTTTTCAATTTTACTTAATTTCTATCCTTATCTTTTCATATATAAACAATCTTCATTACTACTATAGTTTATTTCGTAATTCCTTATACTTCTTGAGATATTCTGAAATCAATTCCAAAATTGACCTTAATTTTTTAAATCGAAATCAGCTTAGGCCTTTGAAGCAAACTTCATACAGTTTCAATTCTCCGTGACTACCTTCGTGCCAGGGCTACGAATATTATGGAGTTGTAGCGTAACGTAATACTGAGCTGTCTGAAGCTTGTCTTATTAGTAGGGACACTGCATAGGCACTTGTTTCGGAAATTAATTTTTAACCAATAATATAATAATAACACAAGGTATGAAACTCCGAATTACACTCAGTACCCCCTCCTCAGAAACGCACTTATTTACAATTTCAGAGAAAATGCAATGGCAAAGTGTTTAATACCATCACTGCAGTGTCTTCTACGATAATTTTATCTACACAACTATAAGTGGTATGTATATCTTTGTTTTCGTTTATCTCCGTAAACAGCGTCAAAAACCTGCTCGCTGAGCGGAGAAGTGGAATTTTCAAATTAATTTTTTGCGAAAGGAATTACAGTGGACACTCATTTATCCGGACGCTTTGGTTCCCAGTCAATTTGTCCGAATATTTGAAGCGTCCGGATACCTGAATCACCAGTTAAACAAGACAAAATAACATTTAAAAATTCCGTTCCGATAAATAATCGTCCGGATAGTGAAGATATCTGGCGTCCGGATATCTGAAGGTCCACTGTATTACGGACTTGACCTTACAATTATGGAGTAATAAATCAACTTTAACCTATTGAAAGATTTTGCAAATACTATGCAACTCTTCGCTGTACTTCAAACATCGTCTGTTTACATGTGAATGACCAGGGGCGCAAGCTAATGTCGAGTAATTGAAATTGATTTCAGAATATCTCCGGCGTTCGTTCACAACAGTCGTGTTCTCCTAGTCATGATCAGGAAATAAAGGTAAAATCCGTCGACAATTCCGTGCATAAATAATTGTCTACGAATAAGTATGAAAAACGTCTGTCAGCATTTGACTCAATGATAGATAGTTTTTGCTGACTGGAAATTTGTATCGACCATGAAACTTACGAAATGAGGACTTTAAACGAGACTGTCCTTCTTAATTTGTTTCATCAACTTTTTTGTCTCGTTTCCGAAATTGTACATACATACGAGGGGTGATCAAAAAGTTCGCAAACTAATTAAATATAAATTTCCATAAAAGAAACAATATTTGGTTTTAATGTTGATTATATTTTAAATTAGTCCTCCCCGATTTTAATGCACATCAACCACCGTTCTGCGCTTGCGCGAATCACGTGATATTTGCGGTCACGTGACCCCCTCCGTAGCGTTCTGTCACAATTTCCGAGTTTTATATTTCTTTCCATGTGAGTTAATTTTTATGACAAGAACAATTAATTTGTCAGAAATGGTCATATCTCGGCAACAGAATGGGTGGATAATAACATCCTTTCCAAAAATAAGCATGGCGACCATTAAAACACAAATCTTCTGTCTCAAGAGAGACCTTTATAAGGTGGATAGAGAATGGGTGCATCCTTTTTATTATATCTTTGTTTCTTGTTGTTCATATATGTTTAAAATCTAAAGTAAACGATATCTTAGGTATTTAATACCATCTTATATCGTTGTTCAAATATTCAACTATTTTTCAAAGTGCTAATTGGAGGTCTTTGATAGCAAATTGCTTAATTAAAAATACATATCTTTTCAAACTTACTTTCACTGGGCAAGATGACAAGTATCATTTTTAACCATCAGCCTTCCTTCACTAAAACGATTAATCCAATCATTAATTGAATTTATAGGAACTCATTTATCTCAATAAACTGCGTACAAATTATTATATGATACTGTAGAGAGTTCTAAGATATTACAATAAATTGTACAGTCGTTTGTTGAACGAGTTCGACTGAGACAACCATTTTTCGTCACAAGTGACCTAAATAGTGACGCCATTTTCATATTGTGACGTCACAAACAAGGAGAGAAACTTTATTCAGCATATGCTATTTATAGACCTTGTGTATGGCTATGTGTGTACCGAATTTCATTCTAATCTGAATTGTGGTTTTGTAGATATAGAGATAGTTTTCGAACTTTTTGATCACCCCTCGTACAGTATCCTGTGCCTATCGAATCAGCTGAGAGATATAATCCCCAGTTGTAGATGACAAGGGTATATGTTGCTGCATAGGTAAGGGGAATTGATATATAGCTATATCTTATTACCGTTAATGCAAAAACGTGTTTTGTAAAGATCGAGTGCAAAATTATAAGTTACATCAACTTTGATCCCCCATTTCTGCCCAAACCTACATGTTTTGGTCTCCTTCAATCTACACTATCTGATAATGATTCCATATAAACATGACAAACATAGTTTTGCTATCATAAGATAATTTTAAACATTAAAAAAATTATTCATTTTGCTATTTTTGATTCCCAATCTAATTAAAATCCGAATTCTTAGATCCGCGCCGTATACTCTGCGTAAGAAGTATACGGCGCGGATCTAAGAAGTCGGATTTTAATTAGATTGTTTTGATTCCCTATAGTGACCCCGCCCTACCACAAGAGTCATGGTTTGCGATTGCACAAATCTGAATCTACACAATAAGATGATGTTCCTCTATTAAACTAAAAACTTCTCTGTTAATTTCATCAGATTTTTAAAAAGGATTTTCCCTACATATATAATCGTATGTAAAACTTTGATCCCTGTCGTGGACAGACATAACCATTAATCTACGGTAATGAAGTTCTATGATAAGTTTCATCTTTTTGGTCAAGTAGTTTTTGAGAGGATGCCCCCATATTCTGTAAAAATTCTTTTGAAAATGGTGAGACACAATGAGAAAAGGCATGAAACAATCTTACAGGGATTTTTCTCAAAACAGACGTGAAATAAATAAAATCACAAAATTTAATGTCTTTTGAAAACCACACTAAATCATTGACAAGACTCTAGTCAGGTTTACATTTGTATGACCCTGTCATTTCCCGGTATGTTGACACCATACTCAATCCATTTTTCGTCACTTGGTCACTTTTGGTGTATAGCCTATTGTTCCGAACAAAAAAGTATCTCCTTTATAACTTCGATAGAAACCTATAAAATACATAGTATGATTACCCTTTCTTTGTTATCATTTGTTAAAATTCAGACATGAAGCTGAAGACAATAAAGAAATCTCACTTCTTCCAAAGTTTATTCAAAGACGTACACTAAAGAATTCATATACGTAACTGCACTGAATAAATTAAAAAACGTAACAAACGTTTTAAATAGACATAGAATGTAATTATGCCTTCGTATTTCAATGTTTTAGAAATTAATTATCGTTTCATCATTGTAGTAAATACACATTATATGTCTCGAGACTCTTTTCGTTTTAAATTTCTAA